TAAGATGTGGGAAATATACATTGGTGTACTTTTAAAAAGAAACAACACAGTGTTTAATGACTGTTCTTATAACGTTATAATACTTATAAGGTCGCGTGTAACCAACAGGTGTTTTTCATATTTTTTTTTGCAAAGCGACATTCAAATATTCAACCAGTCGTCGTGAAAATGACTGCACAATAATATAGTGTGTAAAATAATAATATCTATATACCGTTGGTTTCTGTACAACAAGGGGATTTACAACTAAAACTAGAAAATGCTAGTTGTATTATACAACTCATATACTTATAATAATAATATGCGTTAAACGCTAATTGTATCATTGTATGTAGCTGCATGTCTTTAGGGAGGAAATTTACAACAAAAAAAATCATTCTAAACACATCAATAGTGGTAAAATACGAATGTACAAAACAGGTATTCGCTGTAACTTAGGTAAATACACAGTACTGCGGTGTAGGAAAATAGTTCAAACATAAAAGACACAAACAACCCAACGGAATAGGAATACTCAAAAAGAAAAAAACAGTTTTTCTTATAATAGTACAAAAATATACACCTGCTCGTTTGTAAAGTTACATTGTGCTGAAAAACACAGAAAAAAAAACTAATAACATGATACCCACATCGTTTTGAAAATATTTTACCAACCGACAAAAATGTTCGATATTCGAACTCGAATAATTATTATCAATTTTGACAAATAATTCAAAACGTTTATAATCTTTGTATACAAATACATAAGAGAAACGGAATAAGCTATTTATTAAGGGGCAAAGGATTGGGAATTTTTGACAAAAATCGAACTAGTTGCTATTTTAAATATGTCGACTTATTTTATGGAGAAAAATATTAAGTTTTTCTAGTTACAAAACGTTTTAAGTTAATGTTCTCGAAGTTAAGGCGAAAGTTTCAAAAAAAAAAAAATCCTAACTGTACTCAACCCATCTTTGAACTATAATTAGAACATTTGGTTCGAATGTCCAATTCTAGGATAATAATAAAAAAGTTTTATTTATTAAAAAAAAACCTATTACTTAGTGTTTTACTCAGTTTCAAAATATTTAAAATTACGGCAACATCAAAATCAGAGGTCTTATTTTGGGCCAATACGAACCAATATGAAGTCCACTGGTCATCAGAATCTGATGAATTGCTAATTACTAATTAATAATAATAACCCAGAACAGGTTGTATATTTATATACGTATATATAAATTAGCGTGGTCGTTAATTTCGATTTTGAGGAGCGAAGTATAGAAATAAGTTTGAAATGTCAAAAAAAAAAGAAATGCCCTAATTATTTCAGATTTTTTACTTAAGAATAACAGGTGCCGCACAGGGTCTCGAGATTTGTATTGAAATAACATTGTTATTGTTTATTTTCCAATAATTGTTTTATTACAACGGCTAATTAACTGCAAACAAAATTTCAGCTATAAAGAGCTGTCGGGAATTGGTGCTGGTACAAACGAGAATGTAGATAAAATACAATCCAATTAATTTTCAATTTATACAAGCCTGAAGCCACCTATATAACGAAAGAAATAAAAAACAATTCATATTGTATGTTAATTATAGATTTCAGTAGAAATAAACTAATATCGATGGTAGGGTTTTTGTTTTATTTTTAATTTTTAGTGACATTTTTGTTTAACTTTACTATATACACTGCTCTTGAGTGTAATACCTATGTGAAAACCTTTAATAGAGAGCCTTGCAAACATTCTCCTTTATCATAAGTATATTATCATAAAATAGCTAAATAACTAAATTTGTCGGAGCTGATTTTTTCCCCTTGTTTCTTTTTTTTTAATTTGACGTGCGATCCCTTAAACGGGTGTCCGTCAATACATTTTTTTTATCATGTGTTGGAAAAGTTACACCGAGCTCAAATGTAAAAATATCATTTTTTTTTTATTAAGTATTGCTTATCGACTTCTCGCCTTGACGAAACAACATTTTTTTTCTTGCGTTAACTCGAAAACACATTTTTTTTTTACTTTAGAAAAACACTTGTGTGGTTTGATGTGACCTTCCATTTCCACTGTTTACATAAACGAACCAAACCGTTTATAAAAAAAAAAAAAATTATACACGTTCAAAACGCTGTAAACACTATTTAGATAATACTCACATTGGGCCTGCGTTAGAATAATGTGCACCCAACATCGACAAATACAGGATTTTAAAAATGTCATGCCCCACCTGACTCATTGGCGATTTTCTAAAATTATGAAAAATTACCATTATATACATAAAATTACCATTTATGGTTTTTATCATACAATGATATTTTAAGGTTATTGTAATTTTTTCTCCCTTATAATTTTTGCAATATCTTACAGTAAACCTGTATAGTTAGATATATCGAACTTTAAAGTTTATAACCTCAATCAAAAGAGCCGAAGCCTTTTGAAATTTCTTTTAAAAAATTAGATTTCTACATTAACTGTATTGAATTTCAACGACTAAAGGCAAATACTCCAAGGTACTATTGGATAAAATTAGAAGGAATACATGGTATTTAATCCCCTAACGAATTTAAAAAGGGTATGGACTACAATGATTTAGAATATTTAAGCGAGAATTAGGAAGATAAAAATAGCCGGCCAAGGAAGGAGGTTAACAAAGAAGTTGTTAATACTACACGAAGTGGTAGGGTAGTAAAGAACCAGAGAAATGGAACCTTGAAAATTTATTAGTTTAATAATTTTGTCATTGTAGGTATTAAACGTGTCCATTAAATGTTTGTATACATAATTAAAGATATTATTTTGTTTATATAGTTAGTAAGTAGAGCATAGTTGTAAAACTAATAATCTTTATAATGTTGTATCTAAAGAAAAACATTTTTAGTAATACTGATTTACTGACTATTTTCATTTTAATTTGTTGTATTTCACTTTGTTCGTATTTAATTTTGATAATATTAATAAATGTATAGTCAAGAATAAAGATAACTTAAAATTTATACATTTTGTTATAAATATAAACAATGAACCCGTCGACTGCATTTCAGTAGACATAAAGTAAGAATAATAAATGGACGAATCAGACGTAGAAACGAGTTATTGGAATAGACTAGATAATAAACAAACAAATCTATCTATCTAATTTATCTGACCACAATTTGTGTCGTTCCGCCCGAGTCAAGGATCGTGGAGTTACCTTTGACCCCAAACTGTTGTTTAATCTTAATATTCTAGCAAAATTAAAAATTAAAAAACGCTTGTCTTAATTATCACTAGACTCTTTTTACTTTAAAACGGTATATCCACCTCTATTATTCGTACCCATCATTATAAAAAAGACACCACTAACAGTCTGGAAAATGTCTTTTATCTTAATTAGTGCATTATTTTTCGTACCTAATTTTTTTAGGCAGAGCTACAGCGGGAGGAATCAAACTTTTAACTGGTCAAAAATTATAAAAAAAAAAAAAAACTATCGTAATGACATTGTTTGGCACTTATCTGACGATGATAAACATATCACAATATACAACAATTATTGAGTACTGATATATATATATATATAGTATATTTACAGGGTGTTCAAAAAGTTCGAAAACGGTCAATATTTAGAGCCGTTATTAATTGTTTTCAAATTTTGACTTTTGCATTTTGAAACGGATTTTAGATTATCAGAATCAACTATCAAATTATTGCAAAACTCAAAGTATAGCTAATGTGTATAAAAATATTTGCAATTTTAGGTCAGTTATAATTTAAAATGTATATTATGTGTAAAAACATGCACTATTTTGTGGTTTTTAAAAATTTAATATTCTATTGGAAAAACTACGTTTAATTCAGTGTAAGAACCATACAATAACAAATTTTAAAGAATTGCACCTGTAAGTTATTTAAAACAAATAAAAGATTGTTTATATATTATTCTTTTTCAAATTTGCGATTATCATTAACAGAAATGGTCTAACCTACACCATGCGAAACTCAAGTAACAGCAAAAATGCAAAATTATTGCTTACACAAACTGCAAACATTAGTTACTATTAGTATAAATACTTCAGATCAAAAAATAATATTACACTGACTGTGTTCATAATTTTATTTTATTCATATATAATAATATTTATAATATTTTTTGAACTTTTCCTTTAAGGTTTTTATTTATGAATATCTTAGTTCTTACTTGGTTCTATTTTGCCAAAATCTCCAGAGTTTGGTTGCCATAGCAGGCAATATAAAACTGTATCTCCATTGAGGTAGACTTAGGGGTTAAGTTTTTAAATTCACCGCTTCCATGTTAAGTACAATTTTATTAAATCATAAGAAAAAATATCCTAAGACCTTTTATGTTCGAGGATTTATGTACGCGAGGTTAAATAAATCTTGTGATAAAATATTGTTTTTATATCAACAAGTGACAGTGGGGAAATGTTGTCAACTTATGACAAAAATGAGACAGTCTACATTTTTTCGCCTTGAGTTTGTTAATTTAAGATTGTAATATACGTTTTTGTTTTCTAGTGCTTATTGTTTTTTGTTGTTTAATATCCCGTTTTATTCCTTGTACCACCAGGGTGCTGTTGACACTAATTGGTTCTATAGATTTGTATCACATGCCAATAAGAAATAACCACTTTTACCAATTTGTAAAGGTAAATATTATTTGTGACGTATACTTTTTGAGATCTGAACGATAAGAGCAAATAAATCGCCACATTTAAAAAAACAAGTAATTTAGAACATTCTAAACACTGAGGAGTATAAATAAAATAGAGGAAGGAATATTATGGCTTTATTAAGTCAAAGTCTAGATCAATATAACACACTCATTTTATTTAATTCCGTTAGCAACAAACAAATAAAAGTTTTAGATAAGCGTCACACTACGCTTCGCTAGATTCAGCGGTATTTTTAAAAAAGATTAAAATTCCCGGCGTAGGCAGCCCTCGGGTTGTGTTATCAGCAATCGCCGCGACTACTGCTGATGTTTCTGGAATCTGTCTAAATGTCATTGAACTCATATATTGTGCGTTATAATAAGGTGCCTGACGTGATTTTATTTGAGTAGGCCATTTATTTTTATCACTGTTCGTAATAAGTCTTCCCACATCAGCAGCTGGACACCTACTTAACCTCAATTGTTCCCTTACGGTATCCTAAAAAAACAAAAATGGTTAAACATGTTTTTGAATAATTTAGTATTTTATACAAAAATTACTTTTGATGTTTGGCTAGGATCACTATCCCAAGTTGACATGTCTACACCGGTTACGGCTCGATCATTTAACCAACTTACAAAACTGGGGTATGGTTCCGGGTACTATTCATAAGAGAATTTATTTATTATAACAATAATACACGTATACAGGGTGATTTTTCTTATAATGGACCACTAAATATCTCATTGGGTTTAATAAGAAATTAAAATGTCATTTTTTCATATTGTTGTTATACGATGTTATCACAATTTTTCTTAACTTTTTTGTTTTTTCCCCATTTCCAACTTAGTTTTCTTGGCAACAACTTTTGATTTTTGAATGGTAACGTATATGCCTGTTTCACTAACTTATAAAATTTAGAATAATGTACTAAACATTTTGACTGGTCGATAACCAGTTTCAAGTTTAGGGCAGGAGGAAAAATGGTGTGCAGTATTATTTTTATCTGCACTCATTTCCCAACCGCACCTCCCCTTCCATAATAACTTTTAAACCCATATAACTTATACATTTTTAGTACATTATTCTAATTTTAAAAAGATAATGAAATATTTGCGTTACCATATAAGTTTCAAAAGTCGTTATCAAAAAAACTAAGTTGGAAGGGGGGTAAAAACAAAAAAATTGTGGAAAATTTAGATTACATTGTACAAAAACTACATGAAAAAACATTTTAATTTCTTATTAAACCCTATGAGATATTGAGTGGCCTATGAAAAAATATCAGCCTGTGGATTTTCAATTAAACATTTAGTAATGTTATAAGTTAAGCCTCTCAGGGGCTCACCTTATTATGTTAAAAGTTTTCAGGCAATAAATAAGGGTATGTGCTACATACGTATAACGGGACACATATTTAATCTAATAATTATAAACAGATACACGCCAACCGAAGACAAGGGAGATGATATCAAAGAAAACTTCTATGAAGAACTAGACAGGATATGTGATATAACATCTAATCATTGTATTGAAAAAGTTCTGGGAGAATTCAATGCGAAAGTATGAAAGGAGGAGGTTAGACTAGATAATGAAGATAATGATGAGAATGTAGAACATATATGGAAAAAGATAAAAACGGCAGTGATAAATAGTGCAAAGAATTGTCTTGGAATGAGGAAAAATAATAAAAAGAAAAACTGCTTTAATGAAATGTTAAGAAACCGTAGACAGAAGAAATAAACTAAGAGAAATATCATTTAAAACCCGACTAATATAAATTTAGAACGACACACAGCGAGCAAAATAATAATCACAAAACGCTCAGGAAAGAAAAGAGAATGATTGCAAAAATGGAAAATAACAGATACAATTCCAAACAAATCTTTAAGCATGGGACTTTGTAAATTGTATTAACGAAGAAAAAACAAAATTTATGGTGCTTTCCAGGAGAGAAGAAGATATGTTTATGCTGTGGAGAAGGACATTCAGACGGTGGATGTGAATGCGTCTGTTGAGTTAGCATTCAACAGGGAACGGTGGAGAGGCTTGCTTGGGGCAGCTCAGGTCCTTCGTGGACTGTTAAACTGAATAAGAAGAAAGTTATAAGTATGTAATAATTTTAAAATAATATATGTGGGCATATCTTTGAAATTTTATTCAGTGTTAATTTAAAATGTGTTAATCTAGTACCTACTAATTTTTTTATTATGTACTTAAAAAATAAAATAAAAACAATTACTGTTTGTGTCACTGGGACATACTGATCCGTCTGTAACAAAAAAGAAGCCATTATAGTGGTGTTGGTGCATGAGGGACGGATTATATTAGGGGGGGTCAGAGGTCAATAAAAATGTTTACAACTAAAAGCGATATATTTCTTATGATTGTAGGAACTATGAGGATAATTTTAATGAAAGTGTAAATTTCTACTTTTATTGTTTTTCTTTCGTACATTCACAGTTTGAACCTACGAATTTTTGAGAAAATTGCATAATATGTTATAGTCATATTCTAAAATTACTTTTAGTCTATTTTTTAGATCTTAAGCCCTGAAGCTAACTTAATTTATATAACAACACAAATATTTTTTTTCTCTTCTCTAATTTTTCTGTATATTTTAGTTAGTATATTATATTATATTTCAAAATTGTTTAAATATCTGCTTTCACCACAAGCTCAGCTTATAATAGAGAAATAATTTATGTAATTAATATTTTGATGTTTCTGTTCTAATATAGATTTTAAAAGAAGTATAAAAAAAATTGGCGAACAGTGGGGTCAGGGTCTAGTGTGGACAGGGAGATCACAGGTTTACAGAAATTATTACAACTGAAAGTGATAGCTCAGATTAATAATAGGTATACCGTTGACCTAAAACCCGGCAGATATCACTACTAAACAATACACAAATTGCTAATGTTGATGGTATAAATATTATCTGGAAAGAAATAACTGGTCTTAATTTTAAACATTTTTTATACACTGTTAATCGTGAAATTCATTCAAACACTGTTAACAAAGAAAACTTGAAAGCTTAGAGTGTTTACCGTTTTATTGTTGATGATAGTTTACTACAGCTAATTCAAAATGAGACATATAAAAATGAAAAAACTAAAAAGGCAATTAATGGAAAGACATAGAACTTGATGAATTATTCAACATATTTACTATTATGTTATAAATTGAAAATGTTGTTTTTATGACCAAGTGTTAATTTTAGAAATTTTCAGTCATTGATGCTCATATTATTACATAGAAATAAGAAAATTTCTTTCTTATTTTTACAGTTTTCACGGACCAAAGTTTTTTTTTTTACTAAATTTGTTTAGGGTTATGGCCCTAAAACAAATGACCCCCCTATATGTATGGGGGTCATTCCACTAAAATTTAATTTTTTTTCAAATCCTCCAAAATAAATTTAGTAATCTATTCAGCAATAATTAAGTACCTTTAATAGGATTAAAAAGTAAAAAATAAATAAATAAAAAAACTTTTTGAAAAAACATGTTTTTCTAAAAAAAATAGTAAAAATATGAACTAAAAAGTAAAAAATAATTTTACTACAAGAACAGTTTATCAATTATTAATTGTAGCCTATTTTTTTTTTTTATGTCATTTACTTTGAAAACAACTGAAAATTAACTAAAATGTTTAAAACCTAATGTTAAACATCTTTAATTTTTGAATAAAAAGAAAAGCGTGGGCCCTATCCAACAAAGTCCAAATTCGTTGAGTTAAGTATTATGAAACGTATAAGTCCCACAATAATATTGAACCAAATTTAAATTACAAAAAAATTTAACATAAAGCATTGCATGAAATTTATCTGATAAATTTATTGAACAGGGCTCACATTTTTCTTTTTAGTCAAAAATTAACGATGTTAAAATAAAATATTACTTAAAATTGTAAAAAAGTTGTTCTTGTAGTAAATTTATTTTTTACTTTTTTACTATTTTTTAGAATAGAACAACTATAGAATATTATATTGTTATATAATGTGATTCTGTAAAATAATTAATATTTTTCAAATAATAGGTGGTGCATTGCTCAAGTGCTCCGTGGTACGAGCAGCCACTGGGTATAAGTTAAAAAAGGTCATTTCTTCAGCCTTTAAATTAAAAAAAATATATACAGTAGGTAAAATAATATAAATTTTTTATCCTAAGCACTCAAAACATTTTGTGGAGTTTTGAAAAACATAAAATGTGTTTTGTACCGACTAATTAAAATACATTACTCGATTATATTTACCTGTCTTGGAGAACTTGGCCCAGTTCCTTGAACGCAACCAGCGTTTACTAAAACGTTGAAATGCGGCAGCAAAAATAAAATTGTCCACATCATTTTTTTTTTTTTGTTTATTCACTGTGAAATATCTTGACAATAACGAACAACTAGAAAAGTGAAAGTCAGATACAACACTGTGCTGAATTTCAATGCTTCCCTTGCAGTATGACTCTTCAATCGGTTTTATGGGTAACGAAAGAGCTACGCATTTTTACAGATGGCCTTAGTTAAATACAAACATCATTTTGACAGGCACAGAATAACATGATGTTAGTGAGCTTTAGCGTGTACCATGCGTGAGCCTTGGCACCTCAGCCCAAAAACGAAACTATAATGTCTTACGAAGTAGCGCGTCTACTTTACACGAATAATAACATATGAGATGCCATCGAAATAATGACCAGTCCTCGTCGTCATACATTACTTTTGGCGAGAACCTATGTATTGGTTAAATGACTATTGTGTGTGAGGGTTATGAGTAAAATTTGAAAGAGTACAATGGTATAAGATACAACGGTATAAGATGTACATATATGTATGTATATACATTTTTTTAGAAAAAGAGTATCTAAATTAGTGATTTTTTTTAATATCAAAGATATAGTATTTTTTTATATTATATAACAAATTCAAAGCAAGTAATATCCAATTCCTGATCATTTTCTTTAGTAGCTCCATCCCATATAGTTAATACCATATTGTAGTAGAGACTGATAAAGCGATATACACACAATTTGTATAAAATCCGAGGAAAGAATTTCGTTGAAACTATGTATAATAATTTACAAACGATAATCCTTAGGCGCATATTGACATAATATATTATATGGTACATGACACTTCTATATCATATTACATTCCAACATCAAACCTAAGTATCAATAACTTTTGTTACTATATTAGTTAAAAAAAACAATTTGGACAATACGACCTATCATTATAATCATTTCGGACTGTTATTTCCTGAAATGGATATTGTGTACAATATTATAATATAGGTACAGCCGTTTTATTTGGATCTCATTTCAGCCAAGTTGCTCAACCTCATCTTACCTATGAATTTCCCGCCTAAATCCTTTTCTCCTGGTGAAGTTAAGAATTGTTAACTGTCCCATGATGAGTAGCGGAGACAACAGACACACGGGACAATGCCAAGGGCACTGATGCCCAGTTAGTTGACACACTACCATCTTCGGACCGCGATCTAATCATTCTCAAGCCATTGCTTTTTATTTCATGTTACCTTACTATTTTAAATTTCTTTAACTTTGCCCATACTCGTGTGTCCATTCAACTCCGCCATTGCCTGGACTAACTACAGAGAACGCTTTAGGATCCAGGTAGAGGTGTAATATGGGACTTTAGGGATATTTAAGTGTAGATACGGCTTGGCCGTCTTCGGGTCCACTAATTTAGCCCTATTGACCGTCGTTTTGACCTAGCCTAGCCAACTAGCCAAACAGACACGTTACAGAGGTTAGGTTTAAAATCATTGAAAATGAGTAGAAAATTTGGTGATAAAAAAAACTGAGTAACAAATAACATTTATACAAAGAGTATTGTTAAATATACATTACATAGTTTTGTATTTTTATCGAAATCAATAATATTTAATATAACAAATTGTTAATGGAAACAGCCTCTTTAATAATTTGCACATTGTCTATTTTTACCAGTGTATTAAAACTACTATGAATATTGGACACCACCATTCTGTACACTACAAAAAAAAAAAAAAATTACATCAGTATTAAAGGTAATTTGGTTAAAATGTATTTATTTATTTTCACTTTAACTAGTTGTTTAGTTCATTCATAATTTTTTCTATTTGGTATTGTTCGTTCCTCAAGAGAATCAAACTTTTTTGAAACTTTTATATCAAGTTGATGCATCATAACGGAAATTACTTGAAGATTCTTAAGTCATAAAATTAATTGATTTTAATTACGGTATAAATAATAAACAAAGTCGTTATTACTTAAGAATTAATCGGAATCCTATTAGCTGTACGCTCTTTCGTTTCTAATTGCTTTCTTTATACTACCTAAATTGAAAACAAAAAGTTGTTTTTAGCCTTTTTATAAAAAACTAATTTGCACAGAAACATCTTGATCGTTGATTCAACGCCGAAGAAGAGGATGTTAAACATCTTTTTCACTAAATGATTTCCCATCCGGCAAACAGAAGCCCTGGCGGAGTGTAAAACAAGTGGCAGTGAGTAACCAAGGCATACGGCCGCATCACCCCTTTGGCTATTTGTCCTCTTCTAAAGAAAATTAAATAAATATTCAAACTTAACAATTTGAGATAACTTACATTTTCTCCTTGAAATTGTAAATGTAATGTATTTTGGTTCTCCAACGATTGCTAAATAGATAATTTTTTTTACTTCTCAATAGTAATTTATGATTTTTAAACATATTTGTTGAACTTTTTATTTAAGGTTTACCTACTACTTTTAACTTTAAAGATTTGATAGAGTCATCTCTCTCGTTCTTCTTCAAAGTTCACTCACTAATTGTCTGCTCCGCATCATTTAATTTCTTAAAATTTTTATCTTATATGTTTTCTCCTGTACTTTTTTAAATTGCACGGAAACAAATACCATTTTAATACTATGAGCGCAATAATCGACAACTGTTACAGGGCTTGAACTTTTCATAAAGGGTTTTTATTTATGAATATCTTAGTTATTACTTGATTGTAATTTGCCAAAATCTCCAGAGTTTGGTTGCCATAGCAGGCAATATAAAACTGTATCTCCATTGAGGTAGACTTAGGGGTTTAGTTTTTAAATTCACCGCTTCCATGTTAAGTACAATTTTATTAAATCATAAGAAAAAATATCCTAAGACCTTTAATGTTCGAGGATTTATGTATGCGAGGTTAAATTAATCTTTTGATAAAAATATTGTTTTTATATCAACAAGTGACAGTGGGGAAATGTTGTCAACTTACGACAAAAATGAGACAGTCTACATTTTTTCGCCTTGAGTTTGTTAATTTAAGATTGTAATTTACGTTTTTGTTTTTTAGTGCTTATTGTTTTTTGTTGTTTAATATCCCGTTTTATTCCTTATACGTTATACCACCAGGGTGCTGTTGACACTAATTGGTTCTATAGATTTGTATCACATGCCAATAAGAAATAACCACTTTTACCAATTTGTAAAGGTAAATATTATTTGTGACGTATACTTTTTGAGATCTGAACGATAAGAGCAAACAAATCGCCACATTTAAAAAAACAAGTAATTTAGAACATTCTAAATACTGAGGAGTATAAAAAATATAGAGGAAGGAAAATTATGGCTTTATTAAATCAAAGTCTAGATCAATATAACACACTCATTTTATTTAATTCCGTTAGCAACAAACAAATATTATGTATTTAAAAAAAAAAGATTAAAATTCCCGGCGAAGGCAGCCCTCGGGTTGGGTTATCAGAACACGCCGCGACTACTGCTGATGTTTCTGGAATCTGTCTAAATGTCATTGAAGTCATATAATGTGCGTTATAATAAGGTGCCTGACCTGATTTTATTTGAGTAGGCCATGTATTTTTATCACTGTTCGTAATAAGTCTTCCCACATCAGCAGCTGGACACCTACTTAACCTCAATTGTTCCCTTACGGTATCCTAAAAAAACAAAAATGGTTAAACATGTTTTTGAATAATTTAGTATTTTATACAAAAATTACTTTTGATGTTTGGCTAGGAACACTATCCCAAGTTGACATGTCTACACTGGTTACGGCTCGATCATTTAACCAACTTACAAAATTGCGGTATGGTTCCGGGTACTATTCATAAGAGAATTTATTTATTATAACAATAATACACGTATACAGGGTGATTTTTCTTATAATGGACCACTAAATATCTCATTGGGTTTAATAAGAAATTAAAATGTCATTTTTTCATATTGTTGTTATACGATGTTATCACAATTTTTCTTAACTTTTTTTGTTTTTTCCCCATTTCCAACTTAGTTTTCTTGGCAACAACTTTTGATTTTTGAATGGTAACGTATATGCCTGTTTCACTAACTTATAAAATTTAGAATAATGTACTAAACATTTTGACTGGTCGATAACCAGTTTCAAGTTTAGGGCAGGAGGAAAAATGGTGTGCAGTATTATTTTTATCTGCACTCATTTCCCAACCGCACCTCCCCTTCCATAATAACTTTTAAACCCATATAACTTATACATTTTTAGTACATTATTCTAATTTTAAAAAGATAATGAAATATTTGCGTTACCATATAAGTTTCAAAAGTCGCTATCAAAAAAACTAAGTTAGAAGGGGGGTAAAAACAAAAAAATTGTGGAAAATTTAGATTACATTGTACAAAAACTACATGAAAAAACATTTTAATTTCTTATTAAACCCTATGAGATATTGAGTGGCCTATGAAAAAATATCAGCCTGTGGATTTTCAATTAAACATTTAGTAATTTTATAAGTTAAGCCCCTCAGGGGCTCACCTTATTATGTTAAAACTTTTCAGGCAATAAATAAGGGTATGTGCTACATACGTATAACGGGACACATATTTAATCTAATAATTATAAACAGATACACGCCAACCGTAGACAAGGGAGATGATATCAAAGAAAACTTCTATGAAGAACTAGACAGGATATGTGATATAATATCTAATCATTGTATTAAGAAAGTTCTAGGAGAATTCAATGCGAAAGCAACATAAACAAAATGTATGGTGCTTTCCAGGAGAGAAGAAGATATGTTTATGCTGTGGAGAAGGACATTCAGACGGTGGATGTGAATGCGTCTGTTGAGTTAGCATTCAACAGGGAACGGTGGAGAGGCTTGCTTGGGGCAGCTCAGGTCCTTCGTGGACTGTTAAACTGAATAAGAAGAAAGTTATAAGTATGTAATAATTTTAAAATAATATATGTGGGCATATCTTTGAAATGTTATTCAGTGTTAATTTAAAATGTGTTAATCTAGTACCTACTAATTTTTTTATTATGTACTTAAAAAATAAAATAAAAACAATTACTTCTTGTTGCATACGTGCATAACTGCTCGACTGTAACAAAAAAGAAGCCATTACAGTGGGGTTAGTGAATGTGAGGGCTGATCATATTAAGGGGGGGTCAGAGGTCAATATGAATTATTACAACTGAAAGCGATAAAATTATTATAATTGTAGGAACTATGAGAATAATTTCAATTAAAGTGTAATTTTCTACTTTTATTGTTGTTCCTTTAATTAATTTTTTGAAAAAATTGCATAATATGTTATAGACTATAATATATTATGTTGTATTAATATTATACATAAATATACTATGTTAGTATAACTTATAGTTTCATTCTAAAATTATATTCAGTCAATTTTTTAGATCTCAAGCCCTGAAGCTTCTCCTTAAACTTTAGCTACAATGGAAGTGTAGCGTTTTTCGTTTTTGATAACTTAATCTATGTAACAACACAAATATTTTTTTTCTCTTCTCTATTTTTATCTGTATATTTAAGTTAGTAACTATAATAATGGAATAATATATTTCAAAACTGTTTAATTCTCTGTCTTTACCACAAGCTCAGCTTATAGTAGGTAGATAATTTATATAAACAATATTTTGTTGTGTCTGTGCTAATATGTATTTTAATAGAAGTATACTAAAATTAGGGCACAGTGGGATCAGGATCTAGCGGGAAAGGGGGGGTCATAGGTTTACAGGAATTATTACAACTGAAAGTGATAGCTCGGATTAAAAATAGGTATACCGTTGACCTAAAACCCGGCAGATATCACTACTAAACAATACACAAATTGCTAATGTTGATGGTATAAATATTATTTGGAAAGATATAACTGGTCTTAATTTTAAACATTTTTTATACACTGTTAATCGTGAAATTCATTCAAACACTGTTAACAAAGAAAACTTGAAAGCTTAGGGTGTTTACCGTTTTATTGTTGATGATAATTTACTACAGCTAATTCAAAATGAGACATATAAAAATGAAAAAACTAAAAAGGCAATTAATGGAAAGACATAGAACTTGATGAATTTTTCAACATTTTTACGTTTATGTTATCTATTTAAAATTTTGTATTTATGATCTTTGAAATTACCAGTAGTTTAGCATTTTTCAAGTATTGATGCACATATTATTAGATACATAGAAATAAGAAAACTTGATATGTGGTTTTATAAATATATATTATGCGTTACCATTCATGTTATTGTATACTTTCTTATTTTAAGGTTTTCACTAACCAACGTTGTTTTTTTTACAAAGTTTGTTTTAGGGTTATAGTGGGGGTTATTTCACTAAAATTTTATATTCTTTCAAATCCTCCGAAATTAATCTAGTAATCTATTCACATTTATTAAGTACCTACCTTTAATAAAACTAAAAATTAAAGTATAAAATAAATAAATTTAAAAAAAACTTTTTTAAAAACATGTTTTTACTAAAAAATAGTAGAAAAGTGTACTAAAAAGTAAAAAATAATTTTACTATTGTAACGGGTACACTTGACACCGCTTCTAACATTACCTATTAAATTTGCCAAAAAACTATTACATATTGAAATCGGATCATCCTAAATAGTCAAAATTTTGTCTGACTTTTTGTCCAAAACGTCAAAACAGACCGCATACAAATCCCCTCAACTAATCTTTTGAAAAACCCATAATATGAATATTAGTTATATCGAAAGCTTAAATCCATTAAGACCAAAAAAGTAAATGATTTTTACACGGTAAGTGACAACTTTTAGTTACCTATATGGTTTACTGTCTTATGTATACGGTACTTTCTTTATAACTATATTATAACAACGAGTTAATCCTCAAAAAAAATGTTGTCGACAAATATAAATGACTTAAAATATTACTACTATAGAATATTATATTATTGTAAATTATATATTTCTGTAAAATAATTAATATTTTTCAAATAATAAGTGGTGCAATTACAATTTTACAAACTTGACCTAGATTACCAAAATCGACATCATCGCTCACAGGCACAGTCGTAAAAACCATTAAAACTTTTATGAAATGTTAGCCAAAATGTTTTTAAATTTAAAAATTGATGAGAAAATATGTATAGTATGAAATAAAATTACTTAAATTTTTTATCCTAAGAACGCAAAACATTTTGTGGGGTTATGAAAAACATAAAATATATTTTGTACCTACTGAAAAAAAAGATTTACACCACATTACTCGATTATATTTACCTGACTTCTCCACCAACGTGGGCATACTACAACGTTGAAACACGGCAAGAAAAATATAATTTTCCAAATCATTTTTTTCGTTTATCTACTGTGAAATGTGTTGACAATAAAGAGCAACTAGAAAAGTGAGTCAGGTACAGCACTGTGCTGAATTTCAACGCTTTCCTTGCAATATGGCTCCACACGTTTTGTTTTGCCGGTAAGAAAAAAAGCTACGGTATTTTTACAGATGGACTTAGTTAAATACAAACATCATTTTGACAGACACATGAAGTGAGTAACATGCTTTAGCCTTCGCACCACAGCCCGGAAACGAAACTAACTTGAAAAGTAGGGCGTCTACTTTAAACAAATAACAACATATAAGATTCCATCCATGAAATATAAATATGTAGCTGGAAAAATTAAGTTTTAACATTGTATTTCAGAAGTATAAACACATGACCTATGTATTGATTAAACGATTATTATGTGTCGGGGGTTAAAAGTAAAATTAGAATGAGTACAATGGTATAAGATGTATCATAGATGGGTAACCGAAAATCCATCCTATCAAATGAAAATAATTACATAAGTAAGATTTTGGGGGAAAAAAAGGTAAAACAATGTATCAGTTTAAAAAAAATATAAAATAACTACAGTACCAACTTCTAT